CCTAACACAAAGGGATCGCTGTTTTGGATTGAATTGTGGCCCCCAAAAATGTGTGTCAGCTTGGCTAGCCCATGATTCCCAGCATCATGTGGTTGTCCACCATTTTGTGATCTGATCTGATTATCATATGTATTATAAATCCTAACCTCCGTGATGTTAATGAGACAAGATTAGAGGCAGTTATGTTAATGAGGCAGGACTCAATCTACAGGATTAGGTTGTATCTTGAGTCAATCTCTTTTGAGATATAGAAAAGCTAGTAGAAAGGAGAGGGACCTCATATCACCAAGAAAGATGAGTGGGGAGCAGAGTCGATTCCGACTCATAGCAGCCCTATAGGAAAGAGCAGAACTGCTCATAGGAGTCCCAAGGCTGTAAATCTTTACAGAAGCAGACCGCCACATCTTTCTCCCTCGGAACAGCTGGTAGGTTGAACCAACGACCTTTTAGTTAGCAGCTGAGCACTTAAGCACTGCACCACCTAGGGTTACACACCACTAAGTGGCAGAGCCAGAACTCACACGTTCTGAGCAGATGGAACCCAAGTTCACTGTGCTCCATCCTGACTCAGGTGTCCTTGGCATGCAAGGAGTCCGGTGTCAGGCAGGCTGTTCCCCACCACTCTAAGAAATTTAAATTTGGACCCCACTCCCTGCTTCAGTGAAACGTGGAATTGAGAACTCTTTTATTTTCAACATAAATGATAGTATCTCAGTAGGAAGCCCACAGTTTTAAATCCCATCAAGATTTTAGCTCATCTCCATTCAAAGAGATCAGCCTTAAATGATTCTTTGTGTGCCATTGTCAGGGCTATTACTGGGAGATGTAACAGTCAGCACCGCAATTATACGGCAGCTGGCAGTAGGCAGCTCGGGATGTCTTGGCAGCTTACATGGGACTTTCTAGTGCATTTTCTGCCTTTTAAAAGGTATCTGATTCTCATTGCAGTGCTTAATTGGAGAGAGACCTCTGGCCCTCTTTCCATTCCTCATGGGAGAGCTCCATTCTTTTCATTTTTTGTGGCGCGTGCTGTTCTAGGAGACCAGACCTCCTGCATTGCGTTGTTGCCTTCTGCATGAGGTGGGGTGAATCCTCAGGTGGCTGGGTCCTCTGGGGACTTGCAGCCTCACTGAGGACTTTGAAATGATGTGAACTGGTGCATGGAAGAACGCATGTCATGGTAGCTTCCTTTTTTTTTCATTTTCCAAGCCCCCAACTGTATAAAACACTTTTGACACATTGTTTTTGTTGTTCAGTGCTGTAGAGTCAATTTTGACTCATAGCGACCCCATCTGACAGAGTAGCACTGCCCCATAGGGTTTTCTTGGCTGTCATCTTTCCGGGAGCAGATCACCAGCTTCTCCTCCCATGGAGCGGCTGCGTGGGTTCAAACCTCAATCTTTCAGTTAGCAGCTGAGCACTTAACCATTGCACCACCAGGGCTCCTTGAGACATTAGTTCATTTAATTCTCCCAGCAGTCCTCTACCGCTGAATGATGCCCCTGTTCATTTTTTTGGATAAGGACACAGAGTCTCTGAGAGAAGAAGGTTTCCCAGCGCTAAGGGTTACACAGGGAAGGAGGCAGGATCTGAAAGCAGATCTGCTGAGCTGCAAAGCCCATGCTTCTTTGTTTGTTGGATTGATTGACGTTCTGTCCACTCCCCAACTGGATGAAGTCAGACATTGTCTCCTGGGAGGAAGTACTGGGAAGGCATCAATGGAGTGTAAAGAACATATGCTCAGCTGGCCCACCTGAGCTGGCCCATTCCTCTCAAACTTACCCCCCAAGACCATTTGAATGTTGTCCCATCTGCTACCTTCGTATGCTAAAGCTGTCAGGTAAGGTGGATTAAGGCTGTTGACCAGCAGGCCAAAGCACACGGGGCGTCCACAGACTGGTATGGGCCATGTTTGTCTTTGATTTCTGCTGTTAGGGCTCCTCCCCTCATTTGCCCCCAAAGATCCAATCTTTAACATCCTTCCATCCCCTCCTCTACCCCGGCCCGCTGCCAACTCCAGTGCCTTCTCCTAAAATTCCTAATAATCAGATACACTGTGCTGGGGATCTGTGCTAACAGGCTAGAGTAGTGGTTCTACGACTTTCACATGCCTGAGAATCCCCCAGAGGCTTCGTAAACACAGATCAGTGGACCTACCCCCAGAATTCTGATCCAGTAGGTGTGTGGGAAAGTCAGAATCCCCTCTTCTCACTTCTCTGACACCAAATGGTGTTAATTAATCCAAATCAATTTCTTATCAGTTCTGCTCCACTTCTGTTCTGACACCAGCTGCACGTGCAGCCCTTCCTCCTCTGACCCTAACCACCTGGAGCAAGGTCAGAGCTCAGAAGTTGAGGGACACAGTCCTCCAGATCTCAGAGGCCAGCTGCAAGCATGGGAACCCCCCAAACACCCTCACTTCTGACTTACTGGCTACAGATTCAGGGGTTCTCTCTACCCACTCAGCATATCAAATGTAAGGGCAGAGGTCCCCAGCCCA